TCCTAACCAGCCATTATTTGGGTTGTCACGTAATGTTCTTAGCCCACTAGGAGCATTTCGTTATGACTCAGATTAAGGCTACATAAAAGACTGTTCTGGTCACTGACCTACGGTAAACTTGGCTTCCAAGTAATTTAATTGAAAATGAGGCTAATAAAAGCTGCCACTGCTAATACTACAGTTATGTACTGTAATATTACTCCAAACTTCCCCAGTTAAGATAAGTTGAACAAACTTGATGAGGCAAAGGCTAAAAGTTTTACAACTAGAGGTTACAGCTTGTAAGTATAACGCTGCGAGCTGATGCTATCACCGGTTATCCCATTTTGTTCTCCAGGCTATTATTTTAAGTTAAACCCATTTATACTCCTGAACAAAACACAGTGACCCCAGCCCAGACCTCTGCAGATGGATATTAGAAGACAGGCTATTATTGTGATTCATTCACTGTAAAGTATGATGCTAACAAACCCTAGTTCCTGGTAGTTCCTCTAATTTTAGCATTGAATGGTAAAATTTTGAGGTGTTTTTACCAGTTTATATGTTTCTTTAGTCTTATATGTTTTTAGGATATATTTTTTACCTACATCTTAATCATTAAAAATTGATTATTAGCCACTCCCTTCAAAGACAGGCTCTAGCTAACTTCGTAGATTGAGTAACTTGGGCATTACTTTGTAGCAACTTGTCATGCATCAATATCGAACTACACATTGAAAGGCGGTATTGTGCAAATGAAAACTTGGGACATGTTGCACAAATTAGAAGTAAGTTTGACTGTGTACAACATGTTGCTGTAACCAAGCATGGGTGCATGGTTTATGTATAACAATACTCTTCAGCTTGCAAATTATACAATGAGGGAGTTCTGCGTGACAGGTTGCAAAAAAATGTTGAGTGCTATACTTGATGATTGAATAGTATCAATTTTTAAAATTTAAATTATTTGCATGTCTGATGTAACACTTATGTTGAGATAATATTTGCCGACATGATCACCAAGCTAATTTCTAATTTGAAATATTATACAATGCCAAATAAGGTTGTTGCCTACACTATAATAAATATTGTAGCTACATCATGATCATTGCAATGATGTTCACCTTTGGTTGTGGCATTCCTACTTTTTACATTGTCTACAATAATAACTGATGGTAAAGTTTTAACAAGCATTAATGATTAGGCTAAAAAATGACCTGATGTATTCATAGTTATTAACTTTTTTCTGGATCAGTTCTTATAATTATACGAGAAAATGCAAACAATGGTAGACTCTGAGATAAACCAGCATCAGTCAGTGTTTGAACTGAAAGTACTTTACAATTTTAAAACGGTTGTAACTTTAAAATATTCTCAACCAATAATTAAAGTGATACAAAAAATAAAAAGAATAAAAATATATATATATTCATTCAAACAAAGCAATAACACAAAATAGTAGTAAAAATACACTTCATTTAAATGTTTGTTGTTGCCTAGAATAAGATCCAGTTGCTTTATTTGTTTTTGACCAAAAAAACTTTTTTTTTGGTGTCATAAAATGTTTCAACAAGCTGTGAATGACAATACTAATTGCACATTGGGCTTTAGGCTGACATTTGCCAATGGACAAGCAAGAAAACCAGCTCTTACTACAGGCTCAATTAACAATAATTTTTGGTGTTCCTTTAGAACCATGTGTATCAAAGTTCAATTTTATTATGCACAGACTTCCAGTTCCTCAGCAACCCAGTGCCTGAGAGCTGCTATAAATTATTTGTTAACACTTCCCACCTGTCCGTATGGGCAGCTTTTTTTTTATATGTTATTTTTATTTTTTTTTAAGTAAAGACAGCTTACAGAAAACTTAACATACAAGTAAATCCTACCATAAGGACTTTCCAATAATTGTTGTGTTTTTATCAAGTTATATTTGTTACCTAATTTGCCCATATCTAAATTATAGAAATGTAGGGGCAAATTAAACATATGCTACAAAATAGTTATAGACCCTTTTATACTGCACTCCCATAGTTTAATAGTTTCACTGAGTGGTCTAACCATAGGGAACCCTCATGCTAATTTGTATATTGCAGAATTAAGTTATATTTGAAGAACATAGATTAAAATGAAATTAAAACGGTACAAATTTAACTTGCCTTGTCTTCTGGAATCTGCTGCAAAAGCCATGTGGGATACAAAATGCATCTCAAAACAAAATTATTTTGGTCTGAGAATTTTTGCTGCAATATAATGTGTTTTTCAGCATTTTTTTCTGACTTGTTGCTTGACCATTAGTGATCTCCATTACTGAACTGTTACATCGCTATTGCATGTCTCCCTTGCTGTCATGTGCCGATTCTTGTTATCGTCTTGCATGTTAATTTATTACCATTAGTATATAGTGTGTATGAGAGAGAGAGAGCAAGAGACTATCATAATGTTTACTATTGCATTGAAACTGAACATTATAATTACAACCAGTAGTGAAGTGCAAGATGGTAATGAGCATGTACATTCCCTATGGACTTACCATGTTGTAATTATACCCAAATCATTTTTTAAACAGAAGATTCTCTTACATTTTTTTGTTGGTTTTCAAAGCATTTTGGACAGGTTTCTGTCCAGCTTTGTAATAACTCAAGCAATTCTTGCCGCTCCATTTTGCTGAGGATCTCCATCAACACACTGACAGTGGCCTCTTTACCCTTTCGAGCGATCCATTCATTAAGGAGACAGTCAGTGGGTTGAGCATGATTGTCCAACAGAGAAATATCACTCCTGGAAAATCCAAGTTTCTCTCCCATTATGCGGTAGTCCCGGAGGAACTGACTTTTCTTGTCAAGTCTCATGCACATTAAGTAGTAGATTGTTCCTGGAACCTGTTCAATGGATTGCTCTCGTTTGTCAGTTACAGTAATTTTCAGGCAGTTCTGACAAACAGGTATTTCTTGGTCTTCTGGTGTTTCACATAGTTCGGAGGGTAAAGACATTGGAGTGCCTGATTCCTGTATCCCACTTGATCTATAGTGTATGGTTGCCCCATTTGCAATGCCATGATCAGATGGCGGAGGCAAGGGGGAATTGGGTAATCCTCCATGTAGACTTGGGCTCCTTGGCCTCTTTTCAACATCTTTGAACTCTTGACCATTTTGGATAATGCTCGTTCCCAGTAAACCATATCCAGTGGTTGAGGTGGCACCATTGCACATGGCACTTCTTGTTTCATCATATCCAGTTGCTTGGTCATTGCATCCTGCTAGTTCAGGAGATGTAAAAAGTGAAGTGGTTTGGGCAGCTGAAGTATCTTCTAACTCTTGCCCATTTTGGATGTTACCCATTTCCTGTGTGCCACCATATCTAGTACTTGAGCTGGGGCCATTCCATGAGACACTTCTTGTTTCATTGTATCCTGTTGGTTGAACAGCATAACCGTTTGGTCCAGGAGACGCACACAGAGATGTGGTTTGGACAGCTGTAGAATCTTTTAACCCTTGACCATGTTCGATGCTTCCCATTTCCTGTGTGCCACCATATCTAGTGCTTGAGCTGAGACCATCCCTTACAGCACTTCCTGTTTCATCAGATCCCCTTGGTTGGGAAGATGCTGGTGTGGTTGCAACAGGTGAAATATCTTTTAACTCTTGACCATTTTGGATGCTGCCAGACTCTGCTCCTGATTGTGGAAGCACTGACAAAGGAGTAGATTGGGCATCAGCAGTGATATTCTGGCCTGCTGCTTTATGACTACACATTGAGCAAATGTAGTGCTCATTTGCAAGAGGAAACTGTCCTTCACTTATGGACTTGCAAAGTGGTGCTCTTTCTACCTCAACAGGCCATGTGTACCTTCCACCAGAAGGGAGAAATCTTTTTTCATGTAGCAAACATGTGGGCTCTTGTATTGTTAACATCACTGATGCTGGAGCTCTCTGGAGCATGGCTTTCACTTTCTCGAAGGAGAGGCCATTCAATCCCTGTCCATTAATTGCTATTATCTTGCATCCAGGGTTGAGATATGGAGACATTGCGGCAGGCTTTTCTCCAGCAGAAATATGTGTGATAATTATGCAGGGCTGTTCAAGTGGATTCTGAGTAAAGATATATAAAAAATAGAATTACATAGGCTCAGTAGGGTGTGGTGGTCTATATATAATAGATAATAAAATTGTTCACTGAGGTCCTCTCTACCATCTGATAGATACAGATGATGGATGGTGGGAGGGTTGTACCTGGCATTTTAATATATCTGCATTTGGTTTATACAAATCTGTCAATTATATGTTGCCATGTGACATGGACAGTGACAGTGTAGACTGTTGCACGGTTGTGCCAGTACCATATAAGTTTCTGTTAGTGGCAACCCTTCAGAATCAGAAAAAAGTCTGTTGCAGGAGCTGGTTGCTTATGGGAATGATCCTTCCAAGCAGCTACTACTAATCATTTATGAGGATTAAGTGGCTACTTACACAAACGTAAACCACTCACACTAAACATTGTGAATACAATTTAAGCAACACCCATGATCTCAGTTCACGACTAAGCAAACAAATATGGCACTATTAATGTCTATTATGACCCCTGCCAGGGTTCAAACCTATGTCAACAGACTTTGCTTTAATCAATTTAATTAGTTAATCATTACAGTATTCATTTGGTCCTAAGCAGGGTGTGGACAATTGCAAAGAAAAAAGTCCACGATGGGAGATGAGCCTGTGGCTGTCTACAGGCCAGTCAGACACATCATTGTGACAAACAGCAGGATGAAGTTCATTGGTTAAACTAAGGTTGGGGCTATAAATGGGATGCTTCTTGTTGTGTTGGTGCTAATGGGAGCTAAGTAACAAAAGAAAAATCTAAATTATACTGTTTGAAAGTGTCTGTGGCTGCTCAAAGGAGTGGAGCATACTGGAATGTATGAAACTTATACTGGGACTTACAATGGGGTTTAATTTGTCAAGGCAGCCGTAAGTAGACCTGTCCGCTATCAAGGGAGTCCTTCAAGATTAATTCCTAGAAAAACTAACGAATTAAGTAATTTATTATTAGTAAGTTTGAGGGACTTGGTTCAAATCCATAATGTACCAAAGAGTTCCAGAAAGCATTTGGAACCATAACATTTTCATAGCTAGGTACCTCAACACTCTCTATCTTGAAGCCAAGCTTCTTTGTCAGCTTTTTTTTCTTCAACTCAGCTTGAAGTGGTCTCCAGATTAAATGTGTTGGTCTGTCTATTGCAGATTTGGTGAGATACCCTTACAAATGGACAACAGACTTTTCTTTAGTAAGTAATTAACAGCATTCAGTTTGTCACATGCATTGAAAAGAAACGAGTCCATGATGGGAGTAGAGCCCACGGCTGTCTACACACTGGTCCTGCATACTTTGGCATGCCATGCAATGTTCAGTAAAGTCAAAAGTGTTAAGTATAGGGATAAATACAGACAGAAGGTTAATTTTAAGCTTGAATGTGCCGTATTCAGTTTGCGTGAATATACTTATGGGACAAAGAAAAAAATCTGTATCTGCGACAAGTCCAAACCACGACCTTCTGCACACCATTCAGATGCTTTAAAGTGCATATGACATGAATGATCTATCATGAATTTTTCTATCATGCAAATTAGATCAGTGATGATGTCATTGTTTGCAACTAAAAAAAGGTAAAATACTGAATAAACGATATCTCTGGAAATATTAAAGCAGTGCTCTTGAAACTTGGCACCACAAATGTGCATCACAAAAGAAACAAAATGACACCCTTAGTGCTGTTGCTATGACAACAGTTTTGCTGTTGGTTCTGTCTTAATAAAAACTGAAATTCCCAGTTTTTGTCTTAAACCAAGAACCATCTACCCCACCCAATGTAATGATGGGAGTTGAAACAATATGGGAACTGTCTGTTCCAAATAGGACCCTTTGTCTGACATTAGAGGTTACAAATGGGGATATTTGTTTTGACAAAGAGACTGGAAGTGAAAGGGTGGGGGTGGGG